TCGCGAGCATGTTGTAACCATGAGCCACAAGATCTGAGCCAACGGTGCTGGGGATCCAGACCCCCCATCCATAGAAAGGCTTGAAGAAGTTGTTAGTGCTCTCGATCGTCCAGACCAACACGTCGAATATGTTGCGATGTTCTTCATCCTTGCCGTTCTCGAAAGAGCAAGCTGAAACAGCTTAAGATTCAGCATACATGTTCTTTGTATATATAGTTACTGTAATAACTGCATGTAGCTAACTAAGAACGATTCCAGAACTGACTGCATGCATAATGTTGCATGTGTGCAGAAGCCAAAAGTCCAAGCTTTCCACAGCGACGGTTCGCAGAAAGTAGGTCAACCACTGCAGCAGGAGGATGGTATCGAAGCCCTTCCCGATTCCCATAGGGTAGTAGCTCAGCCTCGAAAACAAGAAACATATCTTGATCGACAGAGAGATAGACGGACAAGTAGGTGTGTGTAGGAGTGTGTAAGCATATAGGATACAAGGACAGCTGCATGGATTCCATAAATACATATTCCTGTAGAAGAGTATATACATATACTCATGTACATAGAGATATAGCTGTAGTCTCCCAGTGCTTAAACGAGTCAGGGCTAGAAGGCATGAGACGGGTATGAAGCAGTCTGAAGCATTAGAATCACTAGAACACAAAAAATGTAGCTCCTGAGTAATACCCGCTCCTGATCCCGTGTACGGAATCTCTTAGCACCTACATATACTGAAAAAGATGATCCATATAGTTGTGCATGATCAGGTCTGGCGTCGATTTCATCTTCATCTTCGACAAACTGAAGACGTTCAGGCTGGTCGTTTTGCCATTGTCGCTGCACCATTTCTTGAAAGAAGTAAACAGCTTCTCAAGGCGGGTGTTAGCTGATCTTCCAGCAGCCAGTCCTAGATGACAAAGTAAGATCAATGTTGAGGTTGCCAGCAGGGATCCCCAGCCCTGAATCGCATATGTATGCGCTGGGTCGATACGTATTCGGTGCCAGCTCTCCCCACCAGGGATTTTTCGAAGAGGGCTGCGTTTAACATTATGCTTCCAGGGGTGACGCCCCGGATTTTCCGGTGTCCACATTCGCACCATTGAAGCTTGAGTCAGATCATACCAGTCCTACAAGGGATCATCGGGGAAGGCTACAGGGCATAAACCATGCAATTTTGGAAATCCCAGCCTCCTGTTCGCAGAGGAAACACACACGTTTCGAGGTCCATCCTGGATAAAGCGAGTAGGCTTTCCTCAACCAAACCCAATCACCTTTGCCCCCCAGGAAAGCAAAATGGATCTTGTAGGTCTTGCCCGCATATGGAACCTTGGGGTCGCCAACAGTATAACAGCATTGACAGAAACTCGTAACATGAAGGCACCCCTGGGATGATTTATAAGGCTTCAGGTTTAGGCCATCAACCCATTCTAAAACAAATAAATACAGAAACTATATATAAGAATAGATACTATGTGCCTGCGTGCAGGAGCCGTCAAATATTGAAAGATAGGCGGCGCTTAAATTTAGGGTTTCCTTTATACCCGACCAAGTAAAATCATTGCCTATGGGACTTTATATATACATCATACATATATATAGGGTCGGGGTTTATCTAATCGAGTATAAAGCCCAGGATCTTCTAACCCAGATTCGAAGAGAGACAGGCAATCCATTGACAAGTCATCCAGTAGTGCGTAGATGCTGGCATCCCCGTCCGCGTAACACTGAGAAGGAAAGCAAGAATTCAGGAGGCGGGAGGTGAACGAGTGCCTCGGATAGGGCAGCAAGAAGCCACGAATGTACCGGCCAAGTTATGAGAAAATGTAGTAAGTATACAGCATCGACTTACCAGTGCAGCTGCCGTACCCCGACATGTTCACTCGATGGGAGCCGTAGTGGGAAAGAACCCCTTGGAACGAAATCGTTAACAAGGGATGTTTGCATCTGCCACGTCCTTCATCCCCGTGCACCATAAAAGGAATTGTGCAAGAAGTATCGATTCCACTGGAGAACAGTGGATGGGTGGGATCTATCAAGGAATAACGACTCCAAAAACCTCGAAACTCTGCTCGCCAAGCCGGTTCATCTTCCAAGCAGTGTCCAGCGAGCAACATTTGCCCACCCCGACCAAGTGCATATCGGGCCCAATCAGACAGTCGCAGAACCGGCCAGCCGACAGTTCTGCTTCGCCCGTTCTTCAGGGCTTTAATCGGGACATCGATTACAGAAACATGCACAGGTAGCGACAACTTGTCATCGACCAACATCCGGTGAAGATTGCGGCAAGCATTGCCCGAGCCGCCCCGCGCACACCGGCCCAGTCGTTCCAACAGGGGGTCCCGCCCACCTGCACAATTTAGATTCAGTACTTGGAAGGGCAGGGGACTCAGTAAGTAGGTTATAAGTAGCTAGAGTTATAAGTACCCTACATGGAGTTACCCCAATTATAACCCTACTTATAACCTACTTACTCAGTCCCGTGCCCTTCCAAGTACATACTAACAAATATCCTATAGTGTTGCTCACACTCGACAGGGCCATTCATATCTATTGGTGAACACCTACCTGCTCGTCGCACTTTCTTTGCAGCTTTCTTCGCAATTCGAGTAACTCTTGCACACGAGTCAGCCTTGGCTAGTGTTTCCAACACGGATCAATTCAGCAACGGACCGAAGTAGATAAGACGAGAAACCCCACCGGAGATCCCGTCCAGAAGCTCCTCGAACAGGTCATCCGAAGATTCGGAATCTTCGGCCGGCTTGCCTTGTGGAGCAGGCAAGGGGGCTTATAATGTCAGGACCTTAGGGGTGCAGGGTATATATAGTTATAATATGCGTTTGATAGGGTTTAGGGGGGTAATCCGGCCCACGATGAATTAGGAATGGGGCCCATGGGTTGGATAGTGCATCGATATAGTACGGCGCGTGGGCTTTGGGGCTTGGGTAGTAGGGGTCACATCACATTGCATAGTTGGTTTGGGGTTCCTGCAAGGTTCAGATTGTCCTATGTACAGGGTTTAGAGGGGGATCACATCAGACGAGGCACCATAAGCCCAATCTGCATCTCCACCGTCTGCGCAGGGTGTGAACGTACATTGTATGTATGAATCTTTACACATGCATGCCTGCACAGACGAGAAGGGCCGCCTTTTCCAAGAGCCATTCCACAGTGATCTAGCCCCACGTGACAAATTAAACTGTGGCTATGCATCACAGTCCCTGGAAGCAGTGTGTCTTGGCCCAGCACGTGCTCGCATGAGCTTCAGACCAACTGCATGTCTAAGTGCATGCTGTGTTTGCGAGACAGCATGTCCTGTGTGTGTTGTGCAAAGTCTAACTCTATCAGCAAGTAGCATGCTTGGGCAGCACACTATGATCAAAATACCCGGACAAAACAGCATCAGCTGCTTCGGGCTCTCTTGCCACTGCCCTTCTTAGGGGCAGCTTTGCGCTTGGGAGTGGCACTCTTGGCAGTCTCCGTATCACTACCCTTGATAGCACCTCCTTTAGCAGCAGCCTTCTTGGCAGCAGCCTTGGGCTTCTGTGGCGGGGGCGTCATGGCAGGCTTGGCCTTCATGGTCCTGGGCATGGTGCAGGCTTGGACTGTTCTCGAATTCGATGGATAGTTCAAGCCTGGTTGCTTGGCTCGCTGGACATGGTTGTTCAGGGCTAGGTCTTCCTTCGTGGCATCCACAAACTTGGTGAGGATAGCTTCCTCGATCCTTAAAGAAAGTTGATGCAGCACCCCACATCAAGCTGTTTAAACATCCTGGATTACTTGAGCCAATTCTCGACTTGATCTCGTCCTCCCTCGTGGAAGTTGCTGCTGCCGCTTGCAGCTTCAGCAACTCATCATAGATCTGCTGGAGGCTTTTCAAAGAAGCTTCCATATAAACAGAAAGCCTAGGTTGAACAGGTGACATCACTCATTATGCATAGTAACCTATAGCTGCTTACAAGCGGCGTCTCCGACCTGGGCGCACCGGTCGCACGACACTTGTCCTGCAATGCACTGTAGAAACCATGCATATAACTGTAACTATATTACCATCAGTTATGACCCCGACTGATAACATAATTATATAGAAACCTGTAAATCCTGGACCCATATGGTATTATATCTTACTATATTCGAAGCCACCTGCCCGGGCAAAAACTGGTGCCCAAACCGTGAAGCCCAACGAAACACTACCCAGAACCTTATGCCCCCAAAGCCACAGCCTCTATAAGAAAGCCTCTCTGATGAAGCAGCCTCCTCGAGCTATATGTATGCTAGACAGACGTACGAGCAAGCACACAAGCAACCGTGCAATCCTTGGCTTCCTCACCGTGGTCCAACTTGCGTCCAAGCACGGAAAGGAAGGCGGGGAGGATGGAAACAGCACTCACATTCTGCTGCAACGATGGGAAGCAGAGCCTTAATTGGACAATTGCACATGGGATATTCGTGCCCTGCTCCAGGATATTTTTAGACCTAGGGACTTGAAGGAAGCCCCTCCTTGCGCAGCAATCTCTGGCACAGAAGGTGCATTGCCTCCGCCACTGGCAGCGTAGTCGCCGAGATGAGCTGCGCCATTGGCGCCCGCGTCCATCAGCAGGCTGGCATCCGGATCCTGGGCGAGGGAACGGGAAGCAGTGTTTCAAAGAGATTGTGGGAATGCAGTCGCAGGTACACGGCACTGCTTAGATCGAGCATGTGGGTCTCGAGCTTATGATTATGTTTCGGATAGAATAATGCGGGATGCTTTCTGCGAAATGCACATGTATGCATATGTACACTGCATGTGTCTGGGTTCGAGTGTGATATGTTCTCCTCACTCGCATCTCTACCTCTCACACACACAGTCTGTCTGTCTCTCTCTCTCTCTCTCTGTGTCGTTCTCTCTCTCTCTCTCTCTCTCTCTCTCTCTCTCTCTCTCTCTCTCTCTCTCTCTCTCTCTCTCTCTCTCTCTCTCTCTCTCTCTCTCTCTCTCTCTCTCTCTCTCTCTCTCTCTCTCTCTCTCTCTTTCAACAGCAAGCCACGTCGAGCTCGGCTCCATTCTCGAACTCCAGCCGCTGGCCTCTCTCACTCGTCACGTGCCACCTCTCATCAAGCGGGATGTCGGCTTCCTCCTCTCCCGTGATAACATTCTTGCGGCATCTGCCCCGAGGGGCGGCCCACTTGAAGGCATTGTCGGCCATAGTCCTGTCGAGTAGCTACACTATATGTATGAGACAGAACCTGCATGGTGTGATATTTGCTGGCTGTACACTGCATCTGCAACCCAGATACTGCGTGAATGACTTGTTGTCCATCAGCCATTTCTTTGTAACATAGCCACCACTTGTCTCATCCCGGGTCTTCTGCTCATGCCACTGCTTTACAACAAGCTCCACCTTGTCAAAACTGCCTTTCTCCAGCAAGACTTTCCGAATCTTTTCGCCTAAGGCATTAGCCCACACGATGATGAAGATGATGATGATGGTCACATTGCTGCTTTGATGATGAGAATGACACAGGTGACTCTGAAGCACATCCATCTCTACAGCATGTTGCGGGAAAGACTACAGCCTACTTGGAGGGTCGGGGGACTTAGTAAGTAGGTAGTAAGTAGACTTATACGTACCCTAAAAGGGACCCTAATTGGGGTTATGGTACTTATAATTCCCTAAAATAACCAGTTACTAAGTCCCCCGACCCTCCAAGTAGCCACACTTCAAAGCTCTAGCTTGTTGCAGCTCGGCAACGACCTTCGGAAGTGGCCCCCAGTTCCAGCATCTCTTTGGAACACTTAGCATGGCCCTTCGCATCGGCTTGAAGATACCGCCGGACCCTGCATTTCAGGAACACATTGAAGGTTTCGGATTGATCCCACAATCCTGTCTTTAAGCGGATGACCTCCAGTAGCCTTCTAGCTTGGGCTCAGCAGCAGCAGCAGGCTTCACCACAGCCCTTTGCTTCTCCACAAGGGCTGAAGCAGCCACAAACCCAAGCTTCCTCGGGGAAGGTCGAGGCAAGCCATGCCCCTTTCCCTTGCTCGGCCCTTTCACTTTGGGAGACATGGGCGGGGGAGTTGCCCTTTCCGTTGGAGTTTTAGATGGGGATGTACTCGGAGCTGGCGATGCCTGGCCCGGAGGTAGACCTGCGGCAGGAGGGTCGGGCGTGGTGTCCGGCCAGGTCTGGGTGAGTGCCCTTTGCGTAGCCAAAGCATCAAGCGATTCTTGGGAGCCGCCTGATCCTTGCAAAGTCTCCTTTGAGGATTGGCCTAACATGCGTTGTGTTTCTGGGCCAAGAGGCGTAAAGGCTGGCTTGGGGTGCGGAGATGGCGTGGCCGGGGAGGGCTTCGGAACTGAGCTTGGGGGGGTATGTGTCACACCAGGCAGTGCACCAGCATCACCCAAACTCTGAGCAGCCAATCCAGCCACAAACTCACCACTATGCGAAGCTATCGTAGGGGCTCCTGAACACAAGTGGATTTGACTTTACTCTACCATAGAGTAGCCATCCGCATAAAGTCCTGGAGCCATCGGAGGCACTGGGTCTGGCTCGCCAGCCACCATCCTCTGCAAGTTCATGAGCCTTGCGCTGGCAGCCTTGGCTGTGTTTGATTTATATCCAGCAGAAGTTCTAGTCGTGGTAGTAGCAGTAATAGTAGCAGTACCAGCAGCAGTAGCAGTAGCGCAGTAGCAGTCGCAGAGCAGCAGCAGCAGCAGGAGTAGTAGAAGTGCTAGCAGCAGCAGTATTAGTAGTTAGCGGCAACAGGAGTAGTAGCAGTAGTAGACGAAAACGTAGTAGTATAGTGGTAGTGGTAGCAACAGTAGTTGTCCGTGGTAGCAGGAGTAGTAGTAGTAGTATAGTAATAAAAATATTAATAATAATAATAGTAGTACTCGTAATAGTAGCAGTAGTAGTAGTAGTAGTAGTAGTAGTAGTAGTAGTAGTAGTAGTAGTAGTAGTAGTAGTAGTAGTAGTAGTAAGAGTAGTAGTAGTAGTACTAGTAGTAGTAGTAGTAAGTCTAGTTAGTAGTAGCAGTAGCAGTAGTAGTAGCAGTAGTAGTAGCAGCAGTAGCAGTCGTTAGCGGTCGTAGTAGTAGTAGTAGTAGTAGTGTAAGTAGTAGTAGTAGTAGTAGTAGTAGTAGTAGTAGTAGTAGTAGTAGTAGTAGTAGTAGTAGTAGTAGTAGTAGTAGTAGTAGTAGTAGTAGTAGTAGTAGTAGTAGTAGTAGTAGTACTGTAGTAGTCGTCGTAGTAGTAGTAGTAGTAGTAGTAGTAGTAGTAGTAGTAGTTCGACCACAACAACAATAACAACTATAACTGATATATATGTGTATATGTATGTATGTATATGTTATATATATATATATATATATATATGTATTGGGTAAGCACCCACGAACCCCAAACCACCCCACTCCATCCCAGCCCAAAAAGGCACCACAAATCGAAGAGCGGTCACTGGGGAACTTCAGAGGTGTTGTGTTATTGAAAGAACGTTTGGAGCCTTTGTAGAACACGACCCAGACATGTATTCAGTCCCTGAACCCCTTCGCGGAGATATTACTAGCTAGTAAGGTAAGGCAGCAGCACTATTAGCACGAGCAGCAGCAGGAGCAGTAGTTCAACTATCTGGGCTGAAAGGGTTGGCGGCTCATAGGCAATGGCTGCAGTAGAGTCGGGTGCCCATGTTGTTGTTTAACAGTTAGAAGTTTTAACATGTGTCATTAAAACCTGAGGCATTGCATCTCAAATCGCGATCTTGATCTTGCCTTACCCGAATGAAGAAAAAAAGTGCCATCAGGCTCTTGCCCAAGCCCAACACACAAAGAGAGTATGCCTTTGAGATGGTCACATTATATTAGGAATGTTTGGGCTGCTAGGGTGTATAGGGCCAACATTACGGGTTCAACCGGGGCAAGTAACCTACGAAACCATCAAACCACAGATCCCCGTAAAGCCTCCGTACACCCCGACTACTAGTAGTAGTGGTACTACTACTACTACTACTACTACTACTACTACTACTACTACTACTACTACGACTACTACTACTACTACTACTACTACTACTACTACTACTACTTCTTCCTTGCCTTCACATCATACTACGACTTTAACTCTACACATGTATTCTTGGGTACCAAGGACTTCATGTTGAATTCGGATGTGCAAGATGTCGGGGGTGAGGGTTACCCGGCTTCCCAGCAGCAGCAACAATAGAAAGTTCATTGTAAACCGCACCCTGAAAGTGCTGATTCCCCCAAGCTACGAAACAAAACGATTCAACCCCTTCGGAATGGCTGCAATCGTGCAGCCTGCAGCCTTGCATCCAGCTCGGCTTCATCTAGGTTGCCATACGACATGGTCGGGCTCCACGAGCACACCGCACCGACAGCCTGGTTCAGGCTTTCTAAAGAGCTCATACAGGGGTGCGCCTGGTCTGGCACACAGAACTTGATCCTCACATCAGCACAGACAGGGCCATAGTTTTGCACGGAAGCACATGCACATCTGAGGCGGGCATACTGATCCGATGTTATTCGAAATCTCTGCTGTCCGGCACTCGGATCCGTGCAATTTCAGGGAGTTTGCCGAATTTCCACCAGTGGCTGGAAGCCCAAAAGTCATGGATTTCAGTTTGCGCGAGAGTTGCGGGGATTTGCGCGAGAGTTGCGGGGATTTGCGGGAAAGTTGCGGCCTAGGTTTTCTTAAAGATTCGAAGATTAGTAAAAATCCATGCGTTTTTACAAAAAGCATTCGTGATCTTATTGTACACATGTACTGACCGATAATGGTTTAGCAGAGGACCAAAACTACAGGGCTCTGGGATCGGCTTTGGGTGCATGTATATGCCCTCTATCTAATCTAGAAGTGCACCAGGACACCCAAAAGCTTATATGCCATATGCTCCTACCAAGTGCCCGAACCCTTCCCCCATAAGACACCCTAAGACTTTTGGGGCCACCGGGCTTGCTGTTGACTGTAAGTTTGCACACAAACAGTCATATTTGGGCCGGCGTGGCTCGGGGCCACTGGTCGAATTGCCTCTGGTCTAATGTAATTGCAACCATGGGAGGGCCTCGAGTTTGGGACTTATACAGGGCTTAGAACTGCTCATGAGCAGGGTTTCTAAGGGTCTCGGAGGTTCCTGCGAGTATTGGGGTGGCTGCTTCGATATCAATAGGCAAGGAATTGGGTTTAGGATGTAGATCATATATATATATATATATATATATATATTGGGGTTTATATATAATATCTATAGGGCTTCTTTAGGAGGTCTGCTTGCGAGTATTGGGCTTGGGCTGCTTCGAATAGACGGGGCTTAGGGTATTTAGCATCAGGGGATGTGTTTCAATTTGGGTGGCCGTGTGCAACTAATTGCTGCTGCATCAATCCACTGTACTCCGCTCGGAGCTGCTTTGCAGAGTTCACCTCAGCTGCATATAGGGAAGGTTTGTTCTGTGGGCTTATTGCATCTAGAGGAGTATGAAGAGTGATTTACAGAAAGCCATGTCCTTAGCTGCTAGCAAGGCACTCTACCATCCAACTCTTTGTCGAACTTCTCTATGGTTGCAACCCATGAATCCGGTATGGCCAAATGTTTATTTTGGCGAGCGTAGAAGTAAACTTTAGCAAGATGAGCATCATCCCAGACATCGCCCAGCTCCAAATTGGAGAAAATCTCACGATCGGTCATTGCAGGGTCCACGAAGTTCTTATGCCGAAGATGGCGCCGTTCGTGCGTCATCTCTGTCTCGAAGAAGGCGCGGTACAGCTTTTTGCAAAAGCGCATGGGGTAGACCCTGGCCAACCAAAGCTAAGCCCCCACACCCACCGAAAGCCAAAAGCACACCAAGCCCCGAAGAACAAGGGCTCCTTAAAACCTTATAGTTAGCAGAACAAAACACCCTAGAGCCCTGGACCCTAAGCCCCGGAATCCACCACCTGCGGCTGTTACCGAAACAGGCACTGCTGCTGCTACTACTACTACTACTAGCTATTACTACTACTCCTACTATACTACTACTACT